CCGAGCCGCCCGTCGGCCCTGTGCTCCACCGGGAGGGAAGGGTCCGGGGGTGGGGAGGCGGGGCCGGCGCTGCCCCCACCTTCAGTGGCCTCAGAGAGACCTCGGACCCGGGCCCACGCCTAGAGTAGAGCCCTGTGCTAATCCCATTAGCCGGGAGGTGGGGAGCTGCTCCCCATTCACTACTTGGGTGGGGCCGGATTACAAATTCCTCAACCCAGCGCCTCCCCCCTTTTTCATGGGGTGCAGGTGCTAAATTTTCTCTTTCAATGCCCTCGCCTTCTTGGCTGTTAACTCCTTAGGTCTGGCCAGCGTTATCAACTCCATCTTTGTTTATTTTTGTAGTGGGAAGCCCGGAGAGGCTGAGCCATTTGCCCGGGGTCACACAGCAAGGGAATGAGAGGCCATCTGGGGTACCAGCGTGGGTGCACAGTCCTGGTGGACCCTGGGAACTCTCCTAGGCAGACTGAGCTGCAGTGGGAGCACTCAGGACAGGAGGGGACCCTGACAGGGGTGGGGTGCTGGGACCCCACCCAGGCTGCTATTGACAGGAGGGTTTCTGTGAGTTGAGGGCCCCCAGGAGGAGCCGTCTTCTGTATCATGGGTCTGGGCCGAGCAATGTGGTTCTTTTCTCTGAAAAAGAGGAGGTGAAATCAAGAGTAAATGGGGTTTGGGATTAAGGATGGTGGTTACCTTTTTTGCAGCCTTGAGTATTGATGTATATGTGATTCTTAAATTTTCAGAGTCCTCAGTGAAATGGACAAGTAAGTGACAAGCACCTGGAAGGCCGCTGGCCTCTGCTCTGGGGTTGGGAGGCAGGGACTCAGTCTTCCTCAGTTGCAATTAAAGAGCTATTAGTAGGATTTCGTACTTGAATGTTGATTCTCCGGGCCCCCACACCCTGAGCAGGCCCCTGGAGGATCTGTGAACGGCGGCTGGGAGCCAAGGATGGCGATGGGAGGCCTTGCACTTTGGACTGGCTGCTGGACAATAGGGGGCCACAGCCTTCTCCAGTGTCCATCAGCTCTATCTGTGGAATCCAGCCCGGCAGCCTACTGGGATTGATTTAAAAAGATTAATCAGTGGGCTGGCTGGTGGAGTGCTGTGATCCCAAAGATAAGGGAGATTTGCTGGGTGCTTCCTCCTCTGGTCAGAGGCACAGGGAGGCCTGGGCGAGGCTCTGGAATCTGGAAGAGCCTCTGGCCCCCTGGCCCTCAACCGCAGCACTTTCTCTGCTGGCTTGGTCATTTACTCAGCCAATGATTTCCAAGTGGCTCCTGCATGCCAGGCACTGCTTTGGCCCTGGGAATCCAGCAGTGACCAAACAGATAAAAATTTTTGTCATCCTCAGAGCCTCCCTAGTGTGGGGGCCAGGCAGTAAACACACACATCAGGAAAGCAGATCATTTTAAATAGTGGTACAAGCTGGGATGGACAGAAGGCGCAGGGCTGTTTTGGCCTGAGTGGTGAGGGGCTCTGAGTGAGAATGGTTGTGCTGGGGAGGGGGAAACGATGGGGAAAGTGGAAAGAGGGCGGGACCTGTAACGAGGTCCTGGAATTTCAAACTGAAGACTGAGAAGCTCTTTAAATGGAGGGAGTGACTCAAATTGAGGGACGTTTTACAGAACCGGTCTGGATTCTTTAAAAAATATCAGTGACATGCAAGACAAAGGAAGGCCAGGAACCGTTCTTGATTAAAAGAGACTAAAAAAATGTGACAGCTAAAGGCAATGTATGGCCCCTGATTGGATCTTGGATCAGGAAAGAAATTGCTCTAAAGGACATCATCTGGGCAATTGGCAAAATTGGAATATGGACTGTAGATTAGCTGATACTATCAAATCAATATTATGTTTCATGAAGTTGATTACTGTGGTTATATAAGAGAATGTCCTTGCTTTTAGGAATGAGAACACTGAAATGTTTAGGGCAGGGGACGTGATTTCTACAACTTAGGAATGGCTCAGGAAGAGAAAAAACAACATCTGTAATTTATGCACTATCTGGGAGACGATGACACATCAAATGACAGCTCATCACATACTGGGTGAGAAAGCATTCACAGTTGCCGGGCCTGGGGAAGGTCATAGGGCAGTTCGTTGTACCATTTCAAACTTTCCTGTGAAATTATTTCATAATGAGCATTTAACAAAATGAGTGTGGATTGCTGGCCGGAAACTGTTTGGTAAATGGGCAGAGAAGCAGGTGACCAGTCAGTGGCCAGGAGGCTTTGGGAGGTGATGGTGACCAGGGAGGGAAGCTGTAGGTGGCCAGGTTTTGGTGCCTTGTGGAGTTTGGGCTGCTAAGAGATGTTGAGGGGCAGATAATGGTGATGACACCTTTGTTTCTGGAAAGTGCTACTTGTGGAGGAATGGGGAACACCAGATTTGTGGGGAGGGTGGTGATTGGGGGTTCTTGATGTGGATGTGGCCAGCTTGGGATGCCCTTGGCTTCCGGCAGGGACGGGTCTGTGGTCTGATCTGACTTAATTCCCACCTGGTCATATGTGGCCCTGTCTACCAGTGGCACCTCTGTCCTTTACTTCCCAGCCCAGCTTTTAAGGGGAACGAGGGGAGCTGTTGTCAGAACAGGGCTCGGGCTTCCCCAGGGGCTGCTGGGAGTCCTGGCCAGCAGTCAGTCTGGGCCCCCAGGCCTGGGGTCCTTCCCACACCAGCGGCCCACAGAGGCCTGGCAGCTGGCTTTGGAGGAAGTCAGGGCCATTAAATGGGAGCCACCAAAGCTTCTCGCCCCCTTTCCAGGCCACGAATGCACTCACTGCCTGAATCTGAGGTTCCTTCACGAGCGGACAAAGCGGCAGACCCTCAGCCTGGAACAAAAAAACCTTCACACACACTCACATTCCACGTTGTGGGCTTTCACCAGTTGGCTGAGGTCACCATCCTGCCTTCAGGCTCCAGATAAAGAACTCTTGCTTCAGCTGAGGCAGAACAGCCTGGTGGCCAAGGTCAAAATGCTGGGGTTTAGATCTTGCTTTTCCACCTACGTACGCTGTCTGTGTGATAATTCTCTAAGCCTTGATTTCCTCATCTATGAAATGGGTCGGTCCACTGGTGGTAGTGAATTCATGTGGTTGTTCTGAAATTTGAATGAGCAAATGCAAGCCAGGTGACTAGCAGTTAACAGCCCTCTCTGCCAAAGTTACAGCAAACGTGATTGCTGTCATTACGATGGTCATTAACCCCTGATCTTGCCTTAGTCCAGACCTTGCCCAGAGCCTCTAGAATTGGGTGGTTCATGGGCTCCTTCAACTCCAGGGTTCACCCTGAACTCGTCATTTTTATTTTCTGTTTCTCCTTTTTTCGGTCTTATGTGTACTGCATGATGCTCCAATCTTGAGTGTTTGGGTCACAGAATTTTTACGGAGTGAACCCACCATGTAACCCATCAGCCAGCTCGAGATCAAGGCGCTTTCAGCATCCGGAGGGCCCCTGGCCCGCTCCCCCGCCACTGTCCACCCACCGTCCTTCTCATTTCTGTTACCCTAGCATAATTTTGCCCATTTGCCAGCTTCCTGCAGAGGAACCCTACGGCGTGCCCGCTTTCATTTCTGGCCGCTTTCACTCAACATGATTGAGAGATTCACCCATATTGTGGTGTGTAGCAGTGATTGATTTTTTGTTTCTCTTTCGTGTTCCACCAAATGTGTTTCCAGCATTTGCTGTGAGCAAGGCCTTTCGGTGCACGTACGATCACGTTTCTCTGGGTATATGTACGGTATCTGAGAGTCGAATTACTCCATCACAGGTAACACGCAGTTTCAGCTTCTGTGTCCCTGACCGCCATGTTCCAGTGGCTCCCTGTCTTCACCAACGCACGATGTCGTCAGTTTCTTTAGATTCTGCTCATTCTGATGAGTATTTAGTAGCATCTAATTACGGATGCATTTTGAACGGTTTTCCTCGTTGATTTTTTTTAAGTTTTGTTGAGGAATACTCTTTACGTGCCATAAAATTCATTCATCGAAAGTGTACAGTTCAGCTTTATGCTTAACGTAAACTTTTGAGTAAGTCACACATTTGAGAAGTCAAGTAGTATAGAAGGGTTGTAAAGAAAACCAGCAGTTTCTTGCCTTACGTCTCCCCATTCCCGATTCCTACTGTTAACTCTTTCGGTTCTTTTTTTTTTTTGCCTTTTCATCCATATTTCTAAATAATTTGCTTCAACTGCTAGTGATTTTAGTTTTTGAGATTTTCTATTGATTCTTATGGAAGGTGAGGATTTTGCATAGACTGCCTGAGTCTGATTCCTAACTCTTTTGTTTATTAGTGGGAGACCATGGGCATGTTTCTTTACCTCTGGTACCGTAGTTTTCTCACCTGTAAAATGGGGGACAATAACTACCTACTTCAGGTGCGGATTGAATAGTTAACATGCTAAGCGTTTAGTATCGAATATAGTAAGCCCTCAGTAAATGTTTGTTATGATTTCATCAACCCCAATGTTTACTTCCCCTATCCTCCCGATACATGAGAAATAGAGTTTTGTTTGAATTAGTTTTATTATGGTTTTGGCTTTGTGAATATTGTTTATATTCAAGCCACGTGGTATGATAAAATTATTTCTTTATTTCCCGGAGTTATTCATTGCCTCTTTGTTTTCATTTGCTGGGATTTTTTTAGAATCTCTATCTTCCAATCTCTTTTGGGACATTTTTCATTTGGTTAAATCCATTTGATGAACTGCCTCTTTCTTTTCTCGAGAGATTTTCTTCCTGGAATTTTACATGTCCAGCTCTAGTCTGGTTTGCCTGGTGCTTGGACCTGTTGTCGGGCCATCATCCTTCAAACTCCTTTGCCTCCTCTGTCGTATCAGATCTCGTTTCCCTATTACCATACCTTCCTTTTTCCTGCTTTACATTTTTGTTTTGGTGGAGCACATCCTGCAGTAGCTTTCTGTCGAAGTATTTTGGAAGGCAAATTTTTCGAGGCCTACTTAGCATGCCTGAAATGTGCTAGCCACGTGACCTTGGGCATGTTACCTAACAACTCTCTGTGCTTCAGTTTTCTCCTCTGTAAAATGAGTAATCGGGTTTACCTTTTATGGTCTGTATGAGGACTAAATGAGTTCATGTATATAAATTCCTGGAACATTGCTTAGCACAAAGTAAGCCTCATAGATATTATTGCTGTTGCTATACTTTTATCATTGGCTTTCTGGGCCCTTTTGCATTTGCTCTTTGGGTGCTCCGTAGGCCAGATCAATCTGGAAATAAAGCCTTCAGTCTAAATTTTTTTTGTATTACTCTTAATTTTATTAGTATTTTATAATTTTCTTCCCACTATTTTTGCTGTTCTCTGTCGTACTTCTATTAGATGCGGCTCTCCCAAACTGATCACATATTTTCTTAAACTTCCTTTGCTATTTTCTATCTCTTTTTGTTTTTTTCTGCTTTCTGGGAGATGTTCTCTCAACTGTGTCATCTCATTCCTCTGGTTAATCTTTTTCTAGGCTGTCATTTCTAGGGGCTGTTATAAAATAACCTTTTTTATAAAGCTCTTACAAAATAATCTTTTCTAATAGCGTCCTGTTCTTGTTTCACGGATACGTTATTTATCATCACTTGGAGGGTATTGTATTTTTTTCTGGTGTTTTCTTCTCTCATGCGTTGTCTTTGTTCCTCTGGGTCTTCCCC